AGGACACAGCTGACATATGAGACAGCTTTCTGCACTTATCGCACCGAGCTTATCGATCAATGCACGGCACTGGATAATTGCTATTCCAGTGCTGTGGGTGTGTTTCAGGCGACCAAGGAACTTATCCTCAAGTCCAACTCAAGCCGCCACGTGGCCTTCATCGCTGCCAGGCAAGTGCAATGCTACATCCGCGTGCTGCAGTCGGACAACCTCACAATGGCCGCAATCGAGGCCTGCGATTACAAGCTGGTCGACACGTCTCCCCTGGCTTTGACCGTGCCCACAATTCCCCCCAAGCCCGCCTGCGACGTCTCCCTCGTGGCAGAGCACCCGTGTGGCACAGCGTGGCTCACCAAGAACTACCAGGACGTCACTAAGTACTGGGTTGCAGAGCAAATTGCCCACGCGACTTGTGGCGGGCTCAGCACAGTATGAGGCAACCCCCAGGCAATGAACCCTTGCAAAGACCCCAACAGTTAAAGCCGTTAAAACCGAACCGCCGCCCAAGACTGCAGGTATGCCGTGCCTGGACCAATCTGGAAGCCTCCGCACCGGCGATATATTGCGGATTAGCGCAGAGGTACGCAGTGGCCTTACAAGTGCTTTTCACGTGAGATTTCTGATGGAGCCACATTCCGTTGCCATGCGAATGACTCTCAAGGTCAGTTCTCCTGAGCCTGGCCTTGGGATATCCAGGAATTCAGCCGCGAGCATGCTGCGGTGCATGGGCCGTTTCGGTTTCGACGCTGGCAAAGGTTTCAAAGGCTCCAACAGTTGCAGCTGACCTTCGCATGGGAGTGCCAAATGTGCGCTCGAACAGTGCCTGTACCGTGGGGCAGAGGTGTAGTTTCGCGAAGTCACTGACAAGCGGGTGAGAGATCATCCGTAACCGTTGGTGTTGTTCCAACAGGGCCTGCAGTTGATGCAGGCTTGGCCTCTTTAGGGTCCAGGTTGACATGCAGCCCAATGATGGTGGCATGGCTCATCGTTCCTTTTCTGGGCCTTTTCAGCCAATGTGACCTATATCAGCTTTTCTATGACGCTCGGCCAGTGTGTGAAAATGCAGGGGGTGTCCGAACATTTTCTGCGAACTTCGCGCAAGGTTCCATGTCACAGCATCATGAACCACAACGCGAGGCTTGTTTTTGCTACACAAGCTCGACGCTCGGGGGCTCTAAGAGCACTAGACTAGATCCCCTGAAGTATTGTACATGGTCGCAATTTTAGTCGGATCATGTAAGCAGCCTCATAAACAAAGCCCAAACATGTAGGCAATTTGCACCATTATAAAAGATGGTGTGCAAACCTTAAACCCTAAGACTCAAATGAGGAACCAGGAGAAGAACCCCTTTTATTTGCATCCCACAGCTTTGCCTGAGCACCCCTAAACGGAAACCTAGTAGAATGAAGTAACCTGTAGAAACGAAAAGCAATTTACCCCTAAATCCTAAACCTTAAACCAAAAACCCTGAACAGCCATTCTTCCAAAGCCATGCAGCACCAACTACTAGCAATGGCAGCTTGGCGACAGTGGATCTGTAAGGGTTGGTTTTCAGGGTTCAAGCATTTTGGATTTTCTGGTTTTGGGGTTTGGAGGTTTAGGGTTTCCGGTTATTTTCGGATTTGTGGGTCTGAAGGTTGAAGTTTTGGGGTTTTGGCAGTTGGGCTTTTCGCAAGTAGCAGGTTTCGGGGTTTCCGGCTTAGGGTTTAGGGTTCGGTGCTTAGGGTTTCTGCGGCAGTTTAGACTTTAAGGGTTTAGGGATTTGAACCATGCCGCATCTCCTTACACAAGCCTAATACCCCTAAACCCTCCACGCCCTACACCCTTCAGAGCCCTAAGCCCCAAACCCTTCCAAGCCGAATCCTAAGCCCAGGTCGTGTTGGTTGTGGCGCAGGAGCAGACCTGCGAGAACACCATGACATGTCCGCAAGATGGCCACCCGAACGAGGAGCAGCTCCGTTTTGTAAGGGGGTCCATTGGGCGCTGTACTTGGAGGATCATGGGACTTAGTAAGTAAGGTTATAAGTTCCCTAATTGGGGTTATAAGTATAGCTACCGTAATTATAACCCTACTTACTAAGTCCCATGATCCTTTAAGTAAGCTGTTGTAGCGGCTTATGTGGGTTATGTTGAGGTTTCTTAGTGTCGGGAGTTCCCTTTTTGCCAGAATTTCTGGCGAATTCCTGGTTGTGGTGGGTCTATAGTCGGTGCTTCTTGACTTCCTGACACTCCCAGCTGGCAAATCTGGCCAGGAGGGGACATTCATGCAGGTGCGCGTGGCTGATGAGTCGCAGATGACTGCAGCCATGGCCAGCGACTCCGAGCAGGACGACTGAAGCCGAAGCCCTAAACCCCTGAACCCTTGTAAACTGTTACAGACCCTTGTAAGCCTTTGAAAGCCCTCGTAAACCTGTTTAGACCCTAAACCCTTAACCCCTAACCCTAACCCTTGTAAGCCATTATAAACCCTTCAGGGCCATCAGCAGCCCTTTGAGGCCCCAAACCCTGATGACTGTTGCGGCTGATGATCTAAATCCTGCATTACGCATCAGAGGGAATATACCATACTTCCCATAGTCTTAGTGTCCTTAAGGTAATGCAGGGTTTTATATCATCAACAGTATGACAACTAACCCCAAAACCCGACACCCCTAAACCCTAAACCCCTAAACCCCTAAACCTTAAAACCTAAACCCTGCTTCCTACAGTATCAATCCCTATAACCCTTACCCTCAAAGGACTCATATTTTAAAGCTTGTTGGGCCCAAAGACCCGATTATATTATGAGGCTTTTGGGCGATTTGGGGATTTCCGAAAATAGGGGACTTTCATATAGCACCCTAAATAGTAGGATTCCTATTATAAGGATCTCAAAATAAGGTACCCCTTGTTTTTGGAAACTCCCATTTTGATACTAAAAAACGGCAAAGTCTCAAAACAACAGGTCCTGAAGATTCGAGCTGCTGTGGGTGGCAAGGAGGAGCTTGCCAAGGAGCTTCAGAGGAGCATCGGGGTCTAAGGTTTCGGGGTTTAGGATTTGAGGTTTAGGGGTTTAGGGTTTAGGGTTTAGGAATTAGGGTTTAGGATTTGGGGATATATAAGGGGCGGTGTCCTCAGTAGCTCTCACCACGGCTTCATGAGGCTTGGGAGCATGTAGAATTT